GCCGACGTCTGCACGCGGGCGGCCGGGCGAGAGGCTTGACACTAACTATCCGACCCTGCGACCCTGATGCTGCTGCTCTAGCTATCAGACATGCGCTGCTGACTGCTGCCACAATGTGCGAACTGTGCTGGCCCACTTGGCGGCCTTCCCGGTCAGTGCTGAGGCGCAGTTCAGAGCGGTCGATGGCGCGATCCCGCACTGTGGTCCCACATTGGTGACTCGAGACCACCAAGTTTCTGCCGGTCCAAGAGAGAGGCACCGGCGCTGTCCTGAGAAAGTTCATGGTCCCTCTTGACTGCCCATGCGCGCGAGGCTGTGTAGGCATAGCCTCGAGAGTGCCAGCAGCCAATCCGAGGTTTGTGACGCGCATTGCGTCAGAAGCGTGCACACGTTGGAAGGACACCTTCCTACTGGCCGTACGATCAGGTCGTCACTGAATGCTTGATACTAAGGCCGCGAGCTATGCAGGTGGTAAATTGTGCAGCAGGGCACGGTCAGCAGCGCCGACAGGCTGTCGTAAGGCGTGATAGCATGGCCGCAAGTTCAGCGAATTCCCATGAAAACAAGTAAAAAATCGCGCAAAAAGAAAAGAAATGTCCCAAAAAAATCGGCGCCTGCGGCGGGCCATGGGGCCCCATCTCCCCCCCCTCATGGATGCCCTCTAGGGCCCCCGCCTCCCCCCAGAGAGCACGCTCTGCGCTCGGCGCGGCGCAAGCTGTGCGGTCGAAGCAAATTTTCATAGGGCCACTGCTGCCGCGCCTCGATCGCCCGCCTCACTCCGCCTTGTCGTGGTTGGCAGCCCCAAAGCCGGGCCCGACCATCACGTACCAAGACTCCGGCTTCTCCTCGTCCTGTCCTTCGGCGCCCTCCTCGTCTTCGCCGCCGCCGAGCGCCGCCGACGCGGCCTTGATGGCGCCACGGAGGTCGCCGCCGCCGCCGACAAAGGCGGGCAGCAGGATGCCTGTCCGCGTGCGTAAGCGCGTCGGTAAGGGTGAGCAAAGAGGCGAAGCAAGGGGCGGCGCGGGGGGAGGGCCGCCCGGGCGCACCCCATGGCTGCTCGGTCCCGACGGGCGGTGGGGACGAGGGAGCCACGCCCGCGCCGCCGCCGAGGTCGACGCCGCCGTCGGGCGTGACGCTCACGCCGCCCGCCTTTGGCGGGGGTGGGGGGGGGGGTGACCGGGTTGGAGTCAGCCTCCTCCGTTCTCGCAAAGTAAGAGTGTGGGAGGGAGGCTAGCGGCGTTGGGCATGGCGGTGAGAGAATAGTAGCGCGGGCGCTTGGCGGCCTTGACTCCGGATGTGCCCACGGACACCCCGTTGACGGCGATGGCGTCCATCCCAACGTGGACATCTCCTGTGTCGACTGCCGGCGCGCCCTTCTGTGCGGCCTGACCGTGGCATGCTGCCTCCGGCGTCACGCCAAACTTGGCGACAAACTTGTCCCAGTCCTGCGACGCGGTGTTTGTAGCTGCGTAGTGGAGGAGGGAGCTGAAGCGCTGGCGTGGGCTAGACT